GCATCCCAATTTTCTGCTCGAAGCTTGATTGAGACAATCTAGATGTACACAGAAAGCTCTTTTGATAAACTAACTAATAGTACTAGTTTCATTTTCTAACTATTTACAATTTCATACTTAATAATGACAAGGGTATCCAAAATTTAACCTATGTGCCAAAAGCTCAACTTAATATCTAGACCACACTCAACAGACTTAAGGCAACCTGTGCAACATACCCCATCATTCATACCACACATATATCTCATTTTCAAAACCTATTGAAATAAAAAACAATAAGGGGAAGCATTCAACAGAAAATATTAACATAATTCATTACAATCCTTTATATAGTCCCTATCATACTTGACCAATATTTTGGTTATGAACAAATATCACAATTACATCACACATGATCGAGGGCCCAATATACAACTAACTTTCACATAATAATAATGTTGCAAGTACCAAATCAAAATATGCAACTGGTTGGCATTGTCACATTTAATTACATATATCTAAGTTAAAACAAAAGAGTCCTATGGTGCAAAACTATGTTTCCAAGCCTTTAATGCCTTTCCTCTTTCCTACTGTGAGTTGTTGCCTATAAAATATTAAAGGACGGGATTAGTACACCCACTTTGTAATCAAAATAGTCTAATAAATGCACATGCAAGTAACCATAGAAAGTGCAAATTAGGCAAACATCAACATCATATAACCATATACTTACCTAATAATTATTTATTTATTCATCAAGTCACAATCTTACTAACTATGTGACAATCATTAATGAAATGCATGATTAACAACCTCCTTATAACCTCCTAATATCTCCAACTAAAACTATAAGATATTTAATATATAGAGCTATGTCTATACGAATGGACTAATTTAAGTTCACCAATTATAAGGAGTTACCTAGCTAAAGGTTACTATATTAACCCTCAAACCATAGTTTCTCCTATTCTTGAATCCACGAGGTGTTGTTAACTCCATGCTAGTCTCTTCGGGGAGATGAGCTAAGTGTAAGTTCCTTGACAAATAATAGGATATTCCCTCGATAAACAGTCAGACAAGGGATAGCCTTCAGGTACCAAAGGGCAACCTTACCACATAGATTTACACTATTCCACTTCTTAAGGTGAACTCTCGCCAACATGATCATATAATGCATCATGTTAATACACATAGCATGCCATTAACTATCACATGTATCTCATCACATAATCTCATACCATGAAAATCAACATCCTATCACATTCATATATCAATTACAAATTTCCTTGATAGTAATCATATCATCAATTCATTGCATTAACAATATGATTCATATTTATGAGCTCATTTTACTCAAAAGCAACTTAATCACAAATTTTCAAACCATAATTGCACTTATAAGTTCTCAACACATGTTTTATATCAAAATAGTTATGAAACCACATTCATACATTTAAAATCAAGTGCATAAAACTTAAATTAACAGTAGATCAACAAGTAATGGACACAAATTAGATTCCCCCTTTTATATCAAACTTTTGAGAAATTAAATGTTTACCCCTGTTAACCTCTAGAAGTTCATATTATTTCATCACATTACTAATATTCTAATCCATTTTGGTTCAATTGTATATGTTTTTATTGCCCAAATTACAAAAATGTGCATTTTATTTTGGGCTTGTGTTCTTGGCTTTAATTTGATATTTTTAGCCTAATTTCATGTTATTTTGATTGAAGTTTTGATTAGAAGCATTTCTGGAGCTTTTGTGGATGTTTTTAGAAGGCTTTTGGATGAAGAAATCAAGAGCAAAATGAATAATTTTTGTTAGATATAAAAATAGTGCAAAACTGCCAAAATCGTCTCAAAGTCGTGACTTTCGTTCGCGACTTTTGCCGCTATCAGAAAAATGCTGCATTTCATTTATCAAAAATTAGTTGGCTAAGATACATATAAGTTGAGAGCTCGACCCAGAATGCATTCTTCAGACTTTTAGACACTTTTGGAGCTTAGTTGTGCTAGGGTTTGGGCATTGGAAGAGTTAAGATCAAGAGATTGAAGCTTTGAAGATATTTAGAGCTCATTTTCTTCAGTTTTTCTATTCCTCTTCCCTTTCCTCTCTTGTAATCTAAAATGGGTCTACTTATTTTGTATATTTGTAGCTTATGGATGATTATGAGTAACTAAACCTTTGTTCTAGGATTATTTGGAACCCTTCTATGGATTAACACTATATTTCTCCTCTCTTTTTGTAATTAATGATATATGTGTTTATTTTACTCTTTCTTTAATGCTTCTACATGATTGGCCATCATTTAGATGTTGGGTTCACTTAATTGATACTTGAGAGGGCTAGGTTGAGTGTAGAACTTGGGTAGTATTGTGTAAGAACTTGATATTTGCATATTGAATGGATGATTTTGCTAGTAAGATAGAGATATACATGCTAGCCTTGCATAGCCACATTAGAGTTAGTGTTTAAAATTGAGTTTTATTAATTGTAACAAGAGATTGGGCAATTAATTTAATTAAACACTTGTTCATGACTTGAGAGAGCTTGTCCAAGTATTTTTAGAACCTTAGGTTAGCACTTATTTTCATTAAAAAGCACTTATGAGAGGAGGTAATTTTGATGTTATGAAATGCAAGGGGGATAAATAATCCTAGGTCTCAATTTGTGTTTGAAGTTTTTAAATCAATCACTTTCTTTATTTTCTAGTATTAGCTTCATAAGCAAAATCATTTTTGCCTAACTATGTGTAGCTCAACTTGATCGAATTTGCTTAGTCTTTTGCTTGATCATTGTTTTTGAACAAATTCTCAAGGAAATAATACTTTACTTTCATTATATTACTTGCTACGACCCGTGCACTTGTGGTGAGCAACAACCCCTCTATGCTAACACACTTTCAAAGTTATTACCAAGTTTAAATGGTACACAAGATTATTAATCTATAATTAATCATGCTAAAAACCATTAATATCATCATAAATAGACTTTCCACCCCAAATCCCCAACATTTTGACTAGCCAAAAACCCCAACCACTACCATTTCTTCATACCCATTAGATGCATTAGCTTCCCTTAGCTCCAATTAACTTCATTACACTTAATAAATGCTATTAATGGCTTTTGTAACCTCCAACCACCATTTTTATTTCACTTCAACAACCTAAATTCATCCACAAATGAGAGCTCAAGCTTAAAGACATGCAAAACCATCAAACCAAGGTTTATATAGCTAAAACAACTCTCATTAATTTTGTTTAAGTTAATGAGTTTGAACCAAAAGCCTTATAAGTCCTAAAATCAACTTTCCAAAGCAAACCCTAACTTAAAACCTAGCTAAAGAGGAAGAGGAAGGAAAGGGAAGCTTATTATAATGATTAAAAGACTAAAGCCTTCACAAATCACCCAAGAACTCATGCCTTAGCAGAGGAAATCATGTGCCTCTTCGTCCTTCTTTGTTTCCTTTCTTTTTCATCAAATGTTTAAATGTTTGATTTAAACTAAAAATTTGCTGCAACGCACAAGTCATCCGCCACGGCGAATGGTACAAGGAAGTCTAGTTCTAGTTTTGTACTTTGTATAGGCCCAAGTGGCCTAATTTAACTTTAGACCCGATTTGAAGGCTGTAGATAAAGCTCAGTAGGTCTATTAGTTCTCTCTAACCATCCTCAAACCCAAATACAATTAAACTTACTTAGTTACCCTCCATTAATTTAATTAATTTGGGAATTTGATTTCCAGAATGTTACAGCTAGCATTCAACGGCAAACAACTCTAACGTTGATTTTGTCCATTATTAGAGGTAAATAAAGAAGCCCCTCTTTAACCTATATTATTGCCTGCGAGCAATCAATCTTCATTAATCCCTCTTTTAATGATAGATAATAGCCCTACTCCACCAAAAACTCCATATTTCCCAACAACACAAGCAATTAAACCCCTAATTACTAAATGATCAAGTCCTAAAATAATTGGGACGTTATAGTCTTACTTTTATATAATATTAGGTGATAATAGTTTCAACTCTTAATTTTATTCAATCTAACATAATTTTTTTTTAATTTCATATTAAGTTTTATTTTCATCTTTTAACTTTGTTTATTTTTATTTTATTTTTTTATATATTTTCATGTTGGTGAAGATAACATTATTTTTTTCAACTCTCTGATCAATTTATAAGATCTTTTGTTCATATTTATGTAGATATAAGTAAATGGAAGTTAATTTTATATTCATTCATGGATTTAAGCAACCATAGTGTATAGCTAGGAGTTGATTTAGGGTTTGTTGTGCTGAATATGTCCTTTGAATGTGGAATATAAACATGTTAGACTTAAAATAAAGAGTTTATAACTACTTAATATGTCTTCTTGTTTCTTTCTTTCTTTCTTTCTCTCGGCTGCCTATCACAGGGCTAATCTTTCGACCTACGCGACACTTAGATACTCTTCACTAAAAGATGCTAAGTAAGCTTGATTTGATAAAAAAAAAAGATGCTTGGCTAAGTTAAGAAATAGAAATCTTGAGAACAAAGGTTGAATGAGAGAGTTTGGAGAATATGAGACTTGTATTACTTGATAACTTAAGGATGGTTATAAAAGAAAAGAGAGGAGGTATATATAGGCCTTCCCTTAAATCTAAAAAAATTCCCACCTCCTCAATGAAAAGTGAAAATTAATTTTATCCTATAGAATTTTCTATAGAAATATTTTTAAGAAATATCTAGATATTTATATGAACTTTTTTTAAAAGACTACCTCAAAACATGTTTGAAACATTCTAAAACATCTCTCGAATATCTTGAAATACTCTCTTAAACTCTTAAAATTCACAAAATATGACACATCGCTACTTAAAATGTCTCTTAAGAATGAACAAAACTGAAAAGGCTTTCAAGTTTTGAAGCATAATTGTGGTAGTGCTTGTAAACAGGCTCACTGATCAGTACAATAGGGTAAGCTATTGTGCCGTAATGGATCCAATTCCAATGAATTAATTAACAATGATCAACTCTAATACATAAAGGCAGTGCTCACTCCACTTTGTGTTTAATCGAAATAGTTGATAAAATACAATTTCCATCCGCTAGCGGAGATGCGAATAATCTATAATGCCATAGTACATACAAAATCTCCACCGACATAAACAAGAAATTTATTGCCCGGCAAGTCGCATACTCATATTATGAGCAGCAGTGAGCAGAGATCCATGCATTTTGGCGCAACCTACAACATACAAGAATACTGATGTACTAATTACACTCGTTACCACCAACAGTGAAAATAAAGAATCGAATCAAAGAAAGTGCAAGAGACATGAATAACGAACAAACGAATTTCAAAAGCCAAGCGGAACTAGTTAATTTCATCATCTGGAATCTTTATTATTCCCAAGAAGCCAAACACTCTAATCATTCAAAAGACTGGGAGCAGCTGAAATTTCAGCAATGATTTGCATCGAAACTCTTGGCAGACCTGTAGGTCTGAGGAAGAGCCATTTGATCAGAGCCAAGGAGCTTCCTAATCTCAGATCGGACCTTAAAGAAAATATGTCTCCAGCTGCCTCTGTTGTGGGATCCAAGGACCTTAGTTTCCTGCTCGTTCATTTCGAGATCCCTAGCAAAAAATGGTTTTCTGGAGAGGAACCAAGCGGAACCCCAATCCCACCATTTCCTGAGAGAGGTGCCAGCATAATCTCCCATTGATGAGAGGGACCTGGATCTGGGAAATGACCAGGAGGATGCAGCAGAGGTGGCCTGGATCTTAAGGGACAAGGACGAGAGCCGTCTGCGAAGGCCTCCTTGGTGTTGTTTGGAGTCGCCAGTGTGTGAGAGCGGAAGTGCCTGCCTGGCCGACGTGCTGCTTGGAAAGAGTTTATGATTCTGAGCCAGAAAGCTCATTTCTGCAAATGTCAGGCAGAGGCGCAGAGAGATCTGGTGACTGGAGAAACCAGCGGGAAGCAAGATAAACATATGAATATGAATTGAGGAAAAAGAAAGGTGAAATGTAGTGTTTGCAGCTATCTGTCACAGGCTGTTATATTCCTCTTGTGGGGTCGATTTTTTGTCTCCAGTTCTCTGCCTTCCTGACGGTGAGGGATTGGACTTGTTTTACACGAAGGAAAATCAGTCTGCACTCCACCTACTGACTACTCCTATTTATTTATTTATGCAAAAATTAAGGTTTTGGCCCCCATCATTTTGATCATGGACGGTGGAGGTGCTTATAGTTTATTTCGTTGGAAAAAGTACCGGTGGTTTGAAAATGTTACTTGCGTCACTCCCTATCATTTTCCAACGTTAGGAATGGGTTAATTTTTCAAGTTGGATTACTCCTTTCATTCCTATACATAAAAAATCTTTTAAAATTTTTTTATTTTTAAATATAAGAGATTGTTAGCATATTTTTTTAATAAATGAATCATTATATTTTTATTAAATTATAAAAAAATATAAATACTCTCATTAATTTATTTTAAATTTTTTTATTTATAATAATTAAGAGCAAAATTGAAATGTTACTTTATTTTTAATTAGATAATAAACTTTTATTAATTTATGTAATTTAATTAAAAATATTTTATATATAAGGATGGAAGAAGTATGTGACAAATGGTAAGACAAGTCAATCACATAAGAATCCTAAGTGGCTCCACAGCTCCAATTTGGGTGAGGATCTTTTTGCGTCCTTTTTCTCCTTTTCTCTACATGCCCTAATCATGGCCACTCATCAAATTTATAATTTAAATAAATTTATTTAATAAAATAAAAATAATGGTCATGATTGAAAAGTGAAAAAAAAACAGAGAGAAAGAAAACGGAGGCACCCCTCCCTCCAAAAATTTAACTCCACATGGCATTATGGGTAAAAAAAAAAAAGGAGAATGACGTTTTATTTCCAAAGGACTGGTTTCATGTGAACAAGGTCTCAAGAAATTGAAAAATGCTCACCAAGTCTTAGAGTTAATAATTTAGACGGGTCGGAATTATTTAAATCGAGTTTGAAATATCCTACTCTCTTAAAAAACTCATATAACCAAACATAACTCTAATTTTTTTGGGTAAATTTGGACTAGTTTGTCAAGCTTGACCAAAATTATCAACTTTATAAATATATATAGAGAGCTGTAAATTTCAATGGTCGGATTTACTTAAGTCAAACTTAATCGGGCCAAATTTAAAGTATCTTATCCTCATAAAAAAAATCTACATAGCCAAGCTCGATTTTAATATTTTTTAAACTAATTTAGACTGATCTGTTGAGCTTGATTTAAATTATCACATCTATCAAGTTCTAATGATTCTTTCATAAAAAATGAAAAGACAGCATTATTCTTCCCTGCAGATGATATCATTCCGTTCTTTCCTAAATTTCTCTCACAATCACATGTAATATATGATGACAATTTTTATTATAAAATAGTAACTAGATTCTAAAACACTCTCCCTCTCATCCTATCTTTTGTGTGCATTTTTTGTTCTTTTGCAGCCATAAATTTAAAAATTCTACCTTTAATTTCTAAACAAAATTTAAAAAGGATTTTATTTAAAATTTAAAGATAAAAATATTATTAATTACCTTTTTCACCCCTATAACTAAATTTTTTTAGAAAAATATTTCACAAGTTATAAATGTTAAATTATAGTGTGTTTTGAATTTATAATTATATATTTTAGAACCTATATTCATGATTACTTGGATTTATAACTTATTATGTCTTGATTTATAAAAAAATTATGAACACATGATTTAACATTGAAATTTCTCTTAAGAATTTATTTGTTCAAGTTCAAATATTTACAGCTACAATTCTTCAATTTGCAACGTATGATACTGTAATTTGCAATTCTGTTTCTTATTTTTAATTGTGAACATGTTATTTGATATAAATTTTTTTCTTGAAGAATTATTTGTCTAATTTAGAGAATTTTCCACCTCACTTTCGGATTTTCAATTTGTGATACCCTACTTTGCAACTATGTTTCCCATTTTTAATTAGGAATGCAAAATTAACATTGAATTTTCTCTTAAGAAATTATTTATTTAATTTCATAGATTTGCAGCTATATCTCAAAATTTATATCTTGTTATACCTTGATCTGTGACTCCATTGCCTATTTTTAATTAGGAACATAAGATTTAGCATGAAATTTTCTCTTGAACTATTATTTTTGCAATCTCAAAAATTTGAAACTATATCTTCTAAATTTGCACCAGGTTGTCCCTTGATTTGCAACTCCATTTCCTATATTTAATGAGGATCATGGGATTTAAAATTATTTTTTTTTCTTGAGGGATTATCCAATATCAGGGATTTGCAATTACATATCATCAATTTGCAACTTGTTGTACTATGATTCAGAACTCTATTTTTGTTTTTAATTAGAAATAAAAATATAAAAAACTTTTTTTAAAAAAATATTTTTTCTTGGATTTACAATTAAAGTTCCCATATTTACAACTTCTTATATCTCAATTTTAACACATTTTTATTTAAAAATATTGTATTTTTCTTTGAGTTTTCTTTTCAAAATTTATTTAATCTAAAATTTTTAATATATATAAGTAATTTGAATAAAAATTTTGTTAAAAATTTATTTTTATTTTTAAGTTATAAATCTCATAGCTGTGGAATATTTTTCCTAACATATTTGATTATAACTAGTAAAAAATATTTTATAATAGTAGTTATCCTTAAATTTCACATTAAAAAAAAACCAAAGAAGGAATTTGGAAATTTGGTTATTATTTTATAATAGAAATTGCTAACTTGTAAAGGGAGAGGATGAAGTCATGTTATTGCCTTATAAAAGGGAGGGATAATGCTGTCTTTTCATTTTTCACGAAAGGATCAATGGAATTTGGTTGGCAATTTTCAAGTTCTTAAGACTTTATTCACGTTAAATCAATTCTTTGAGACTAAAATGTCCTTCTCCAAAAAAAAAAAAAACTCCACACAGTGACACCAAACATGTTAAATAACATTGTCTCTTTTCACATTAAAGTATTTACACAAAAGTTATATGTGGTCCATTTTGAAGATGCTTCTGCTTCAAAAGTACTTTAATGGATAAAGGTCCAATTTTATCCATATACTTTTTTTTTAAGAGCAATGGACACCCTATACTCTCAAGTAGGGCAATTTTACCCCTAAAATATTTTTCCGAGGTCCGAAAAAGCCCCTTCATTAAGAGCCCATGAAATCCACTGTTATATCATGATGTGGTAACTTGTGGGGCTTAGGGAAAATTTGATTTGGCTTTAAAGATGTTTAAACTTTATTCATTTCACATATACATGGTTTACTGCTTTAACATCAAAGGCAATCTTAACTTGGTTCAATATCTTCATCATTTTCCTTTTCCGTCCAGTTGCAGCGGCAGCCATTTTAGGTGTTGAGAATGGTTGAGACTTCATCTTTTTCAACAAGAAGTAGTAAAAGGAGGGTTGCTCTACTCCAGCAATGTGGTGGGTAGTGAGATTATGAGGGTCCACCCAGGTACTATCATTGTGGCTTGTTGGCTATGCGATAGACCTCATGGAGCGACAATAACTCAGGGACAAGGTTTTATGGTTGCCTAATGTATCACCAGGTAAATTGAAGCTTGTAATTTGTTCATTGTATCAGTTTCATCATTTTTTATATATTTAAAACGAAATGGCAGGGAGGTGGATGTGGGTACTTCTCATGGCATGATCAAAGATTAGGGCTGAGGGAAAAGAAAATCATACATGAGTTGCTGGATCACATTGATAGATTGTATGATCAAAATGCTATTGTGAGAGGAAGAGATGAGAGAGAAGTCATATGTGAAAAGCTCAATGTCATTCATGCAGAGGTGAAAGGGTTGGAGAAGAAATGAGGGAAACTTGATAGTAAAGTAGAGCTTGACGAGAAGAAATATATAATGGCAATTAGAGCTTTTTGTGCTTCTTGGCTCTTTTTCTTTGTTTGCATAATTGCATGACAATCATATGTAACTTTTGTGAAGGAATAAGGAATACTTTGCAGTTGTTGTCATTCGTAAATTAGTATTAATGACTTTGGTGTTAGAAATTGTGCCTTAGGACTAATCATTGTACAATAAATATTGTTATTTGATGAATTTCTCTTTTATTATCATATTAATTACATGTTCATTATGATAATTGTATCCTTGAACAAACTATAATAATTGTCTTAAATGTCTTTAGTCGATCATTTATGAAGGATCAAAAATGAAATAAGACTAGTATGATTTTAATTAATTATAAAGATATAAATCAAAGTTGTAGGCACTTGAAAGAGTATAAGGTACTGGACCAACCTGTTATGAGAAAGCTACATGGTATAAGTTATAAACTTATCTTATACGTAACTATATCACTAAACCCTTTGACCTAAGATCATCATTGATTCCTACATGATGACCATTAAGCTTTGATCAAGTCAAAAGTCACCTTTGATTGGGTGATCATAAAAGCTATGATTGAATTTAGTAATATTCATATAGAGGAATATGAGTGGTCAAGATGAAATTTGTCCCCCATATTACTTGAGAGATATTATTGGGCTCCTCAATAAGTAAAATTAAGAAAAATATATGGCTATACTATAATGGAAAGGATTTTTTATTGTTATGTCAGTTTACTCAAAGATCGAGAAAGTAATGGTTAGTTAAAGGAGAATGATAATTTCATGTCTCACACTTGACCGAAATATCGTGTGACAAAAGGAGTATGATATAGTTACATGATAGATTATATTAGATCATCGATCCTTATATGAATTAGGTAGTTGTAATGTCTTGTTAAAAGCTACTTGTGACTTATGGGCTAGTAACATAATTAGCCTGCTGTCAACTTCATGTGGGCTTATAGGGTCACACACAAGAATAGCCTAACTGAAACTATAATATTCAAATTTATTAAATTTAAAATGTGTCTAGATTCAATGAATGTAATGCTTTTTTAGGGTGAACAAATTTTATATATATATATATATATATATATATTTAAATATTTATTTGATGAATATTTATATATATTTATATGAAATATAAAATTTAAAATATAATTATATATATTATTTTTCAAAAAAAATATATAT